CTTTGCGTTTTGAATGTGGGGTTCCTGGTAGACTGTCAGACAGATTTTTCCCTGCACTGGAAGGGGTTGGAGGTGAGGCTGGAGCTGATGTGAGGAATGCATGCAGCAGCTCTGCCCCACAAAAGGTAGAAGGTAAGAAATCAGCAATAAGAAGGGCCACAGTAGTCTTCCCATTAAAGAAGTTTGAACCATTATCCACTGAAAGAACAGTCTGAATTAGTAGCTAAATATTTAATAGACTATTTAAAAACACTTTACTGTAAATAATAAGATAATGCTCCCATATTCATCTGGCACTTTTTAATTACAATTAATGATCTTTGTTGCTCACTCAGACAATTTACTTGTCTTCGTCCATTCTCTCTTTACATCTGGGAAAATGATAAATTGAATGGCCTTGTTCTGAAATCCATTTCCAAATGAATACTTCTGTGAGTTTACTATTAATTTCATATTGGCTTTTCTCTAATACTTTGCTTCTTTTAAAATGAAGGACTCTGCACTTAGTGCTTTTCTTACGAGAGACAGGACAACCACTGCCATGATCCTGGCCTGGAGCCTCCGCTGGTACCTTCTGCACTCACTTTGCGTGCCTGTCAGCATTTTCTAACAGTGTTTCAGCCTGACTTGTGTATCTCCCACATGATCAAATTTTGGAGCCATATATTGCGTGCTGCTGTTCACTTCTGAGCTAAGTATTGCGAAATACTGTGTAGCCTGACTCAGGGAGCACATCTGCATTTGGAATGAAGTGGTACAGCCCCATTGTTGGTTAGACACTGTGGCAGCACTGCTTGCTTTTTAAAATATTTGATAGGTACAGGCGATAGTGTTGCTGTCCATGGCTTCTTGCCTTAATTAAATTAAATGCGGATGCAATGCAGGTAGGAACCTGTGAGTCAGCCCTTGTCAGGTCAGGTATGCTCCAGTTGGTGTTAATAACTGCAGCTCTTAGTGTGCCTCTGTCTGTGCTGCAGTTTTCTTTGTGAGTGCAGTAAAACTTGACTGGCGACTTTGGACAAGACCATACATTTATCTAGCCCCAAATCCTCTCTGTGGTTCTAAGAGCATACTGCAGGAGAGCCACAAACAGAGCAAATGTACATCATGCTTCTCCTATTGTACATCTCTCATATTCTCCTAGTTTCTGACCGTTTCCAGTGTCACACATTTCCTAAGCTGAGCCAGACGGGCGCTTCTGTCTGTTGATTTAGCTCTCCAATGGACATCTTCCATATGCCTGGTCCAATTTCCTCCTGAACCCAACACTTGGCAAGGGAGGACCCCTCTGCATGAAGGGTCATTCCTCTTTAGGTGTCTCAGTTGCAGGCTTGAAGAGTCTTGCACTGTGTACTGCTACATAACAGCTCTTACTTCTGCCAACAGATGACTGTTTTTAAAATCATCAGCTTTTTAAATTCAGCTTTTTAAAAATTCTGTACGACACTGCTGGGTATGATGTAAACATATACTACTCTGCAAGCCTGAGCATAATGTGACCTCAGGTGCAAGGCATGACTGGTTGCCCCAGAACAGAAATAAAATTGACAATTGAACTCCAAGTGCTGTGTGGCACCGTGCCCCCTCCTTGGCTCGCCTTCCAGGTATGCTGCTCTCCCTCTTGGCAAATCTGTGGGTTGAAGATGTGCCAGATGGGCTGACAAAAGAGCAGAGAGAGGTCACAGCTAGGCTGTCTGTCCTTCACTATTGCTGGTAGGAACTAACATTGCGGCTTAGATTGGATGCATCATTTTCACCTCCTCATTTTGAGTATTTTGGTAAGTGCGTGGGCACGCCCTGGGGTCAGTCAGTCTGACAGAGGCCTCATGGATGGAATCTCCATTGCGAACACTGACCATCTTTTCCTATTCATTGCTTGCTTGCCTTTCAAGCACAGTGTCTGTTTTTTCCTCTTTCACCTGTAACTCAACTGTTTAAGAACCTTTGAGGTCTTCTGCTTTGTTATTTTTTAACTGCCTTTGAAAATCCATCTGTGTCGTGTAACATAAGTCACCTTCATCTATTTGCCGCACCCCAGCAGTGAGGCAGTTGCCTAAAGGGCTCTCCATGGCTGTTGTGGGTCAAAGCTGTTGGATTTTTATGCTGAAGTTCTTCTTTTGGGAAATGGGGGAGGCACCTAAGATTTGAGCCAATGTGTTATATGACTGTAACCAAAGCAAAAAAAGAGCAGAGTTGCTGATTTCTGTGTGCTGCAGTACACAACAGAAACAGCCATGAAAATGAAATCTGAATCTTGCTGAAGCTTGTAAGAATATTTTTGTGCTCTGTAATGATTTGGATCTAGATTTGATTCTTAGCTGTCTTATTTTGTCACTTTTCTAAGCTTTATTTGTGCCTCATACCTCTTTTAAAGTAATCTAAAAATGGAATAACTATCAAATCAAATGGCATACACTTTCTGATGAATTTTAATACAATATTTCTTCTTAATCCTAGAGAGCAAACCAAAAGGTCTCCAGTGGGTGATAGATGCAACCATTGCATATCCCAAAGGTGAACCTATAGACATCCAAACCTGGATTCTTGGCTACCGACAACCAACAGTTACACATGTACACTACAGGTAGGAAATAAACCTTCTGTTCTTACAGTGAACTAAAAAAAAAAAAACCAAACCAAAACACAAACAACAAGAAGTAAGCCATCTCAGAAGTTAATAACAGTATATTTCAAGATACAGGAAGTCAGCAGCAGTATCAGTGTCTTTTTTCTTACACGTTTAGGCAACTGAGTATATAAACACAGCTTTCCTTCGAAAAGTTTGGTCTGCCTTAGCACCTTGAAAATGTTTCCTACTGTCCGATGGTTCAAATATAGTAATGGAGTATATATGGATGTTTTTAGGTATTTTTTTAATGACTGTGTCTTGGCAGTAGCTAGCAAATACTTAATTCCCTTACTGTTACTTCTAGTTCTTGCCCGAGCTTCTTCCTCTACCCTCTCCAGTCACCATATAATCAGCAGCTGAAGGAGTGATTTTTTTTCAGGGAGATTCCTATAGGCCCTATACAGAGTCTGGAGGTGATAACATGGGAGCTTTTTTTTTCCCACAGCAGTGCTACAGGCTTTATCACCTGGAAAATGTGCAGCTTTCTGAGGGAAACCTGAGGCTGCCCTGCTCCTTGGAGTTTGGAGCAGCTTGAACAGAGTAGGAGACCCTGATCAAGAGGAATGGCACTGTTTCTGAAGGGGAGTGGAGGGAATAAATGCTGCTTTTGCAAATATCAGAGTCCTGGAGGCTCACGTATTCCAGCTCTCCGCTTCTGCTTGATAATCTCAACAGTGCAGTTGTGCGGTTCAGTGAAAAGGCTGGGAGTCTATTTAGCTCCTATATTATTTGTCTGTATTAGCCAAAATAAAACAGCAGATGCTCTTAGGTGAAAGAGGAGGTCCATCTAATCCAAGACGACTTTTAGTTCTACATGCTTCCATTGAGAATCTGTTCCAAACCATTATCAAAGCAAATAAAGGAATCCTATCACTAATGTTTCATAAGAGTGTAATACCTAGATGACATATTTGGCTTTCTGATGTATAAAGCAGCCTACCTGTGTGTTGTGAAACAATCAGCAATCTAAAGCCTCGCTCTCCTTATCCGAAATGTAACAACACACCATGTATCTTGGGGATGAAAGGAAGATGCTTCTCCTTTGATCTTCCAGTGGATTACTTTTTCTAAATTTAGCTTGCAGTTTACTTTAGTGAACTTAGTGATTTTGATCACTGTGCAACTCACAGTTTTTTGTAACTCACAGATCTTTTAGTAAAAGAAGTAGTTTGGTGTCCACTACAGATGGTACCAAAATGATTTTCTCTCTAAAAGTGTTAAAATCTGGCAATTAGGACGAGAAGTCACAACAAGTCCTGCTTTCAGGAGCTTTCTTGGTTTGTGCCTGTGGAAGCTGTATCGCATCAGGGGAGGTTCAGGTTGGGTATTAGGAAACATTTCTTCTCAGAAATAGCGGTGAGGCAGTGGCAAAAGCTGCCCAGGGAGGTGGTGGAGTCACCGTCCCTGGAGGTATTCAAGAAATGTGGAAATGCTGCACTGAGGGATGTGGTTTATCACATTTTTATCACAAAATTGTGTGATTTTTGTGTTAATTCCCTTTTGTCGACAACTCAGCTTCTGGGCTTGTACAGTAAGCTTTCAGATCTCCTCGTGTGGATCCCTTGGGAGTGACTTTGTGCGATGTGCATGCAGTACACGATGCTCATTGGAGCTGTTTTCCACAGCCATGGTTGAGTCAGTCCTGCTTTTTATAGAAATCTGTCTTCACGTTTCTCAAAGTGAACACATACCCTAAGTTGTATGAGATGCCATTTTATCTGGTACGTTTGATTCCATCTGCAGGCATTGTCAGGTCCTTCTGCAGCTCTTCTCTTTGATTCTCTTTGATTACCCAGAATAATTCTATTCTAGAAAACCGTTGCATCATTTTTATCCATTTCTTAGGCTTACCATATCATTCATCTCTGATATGCTAAGAACTTTTAATGTATCTGGGACTAGAGCTGCAGTCTAAAATGAGTTTTTCACCTCCAATATGATAATCAAACTTATTTTTAGATATCTTCATGCACCTTTAAAAGTCTGTTATATGTAAAGGATATATTTATTGATGGCAGAATTAGCAGAAAGCAACTGAATGATGGGTGTAGGTGAGTTCACTCACGCTGCATCATCTTTCTCTACTGCTTTTCAGTTAGGTTCCATTCAGGACATATCAGCAAGTGATCAGTTCTTTTCTTTGTGATGTTATGGATGCCTTCAGTGTTTTAATCACTTGAAATGAGAATTTGTGATTTGAACAAAGTTGTTGACACCACTGAGAACCTGCAAAGTCCTTGGGAAAGGGGCTGTTGGAGAGGAAGGAGTAAGAAATAAAATTACTCTCCCAGAGGGATTCTGGAAGGAAAGAAAACAGTACAGCTCTGCTGTCACTTGACCAAACCTTCCCCAGCATCGAGCAGGCAGATAATTGAGAGTCAGTGCACTGACACCAATTCATTAGAGCTTATTTTTGAAGTTACCAACATGAGCTCCCTCAGGACTCTCGGGAGCCTCTTAGGTCACGTCCTCACACATCCAAATGTGGTGATGGCTTGACCTCATTGCTGTGTCAGATCTTACTCAGAAGTTGTTCTGGGGAAAACAACAACAACAAAAACAATACAACACCCCACCACCAAAGACCGTGTGCCAGTTAAAATGATTTTGCTTTCCTACTGCTGCTTATATCACTTTCTGTGCTGCTCATTATGAAGCAGAGGAAGAGCTTGCTGCAGAGCTGCCTCTGTTCCAGCCATTCTCACGGTGCTGTCTGCTGTTCCTCTTGGTCTCAAGCAGTCTGTGCCTTGCTGTCTTCGGATCTGGTGTTTTTCTTTTCTTGTAGCTTGTCCTTTTATACAGGTCTGTCTCTCTTTAATCCTACTTAGGGAGCAGCAGCAGGAGTGTAGAGGACACAGTGACCAGCCTCATTTTTTCACTTCTAGGTGCTTGATGGAAATGGCAGAGAAAGTTCATTTTAATCCTGTGGTTATTTTTGGTTGGCAGCTTGAATTTTGGAAGAAGAGTTAAAGCTTGCTTTTCACCAATTTCTTGTACAAGTTACTTTCAAAAAGCTCATTATTAGGCTAAGCTGTAGCCTCACTTTTCCTCAAAAGAAACTTTCCTTAAAAAAAAAAAAAAAAAGAAGAAAAAAGAAAAAAAACCCAACAAAACAAAAATAACAGGCAATCACCAGACTTGATTCTTCAAAACACAAAGGTATGAGATCTCAATTAAATTTGACCGTGACAGACTTTCCTCAAAACTCACAGGACAGTGCTGAAAAATGGCTTTTGCTTTCAGAAACTAAGAATCAAGGAGAATATTTCATTAACTTTTTCCAGGTCAAACATTGCTGGAGTTTGGGGGAAATTAGGGAGGTCATCTGTTAGGGCGCTGAGCACCATGGAAGGAGCAAATCGGTGAAGAATGGCTTAGGGCTCATTTTGCATTAGCTTCCCCCCCTCATATGATCAGATCCCTTCTTGCCCGGAGCTCCAGTGAGGGTGGTGCAGAGCCCAGAGCACAGCCAGCCACAGCCCTCATTCCAGCAGAGCAGGTAGCTGTGCTCACACTGCGTGAAGGCACTGCTTCCTTTTGAGCCAGCTCAGCTGTCCTGGTGCCGTAATGCAGATAAGAACTGTGTCACCTTTCCTTGTCGTACCAGCTTCTGTACTGTGCTGCTGTTGAAACAAGCTTTCAACTACTGAGGAAGTTCTTTTTCTGTGTCTTCGTGAATACAGATTTATTAAAATAAGCTTAGACTCTTAGCTATAAATAAAATGGAATATGTTGTGGTTGCTGAATGAGTTTTGCAGAAATGTCTGTGAAGGGCATCCAGGTCTGCAGTAGATTTTAATATGCTTTTTTATGCAAGTAACTTATTTTTGGAGGTGTCTGAGACATACCAATGACCTCCATCGCACTGAAGAGCCATTGGAACAGCAAGTGAAGTTTAGAAAGAGTAGGGGGTAGTAAATTTAGTTCAAGACAAGACAGATGATGAAAGACAATTAGTAAGACAATCTGTGAACTTTTATTTTAATACGGAATTAGAGGTTGTCTCTGATAAGGACTATTTAATATGGCTTAAATGTTCCTGAAAATGCCATATTTCTGAGAATTATTTGTTAGCTTTTAAGAAGAAGCATACATTAACTTGAAATGTGTCACTAAATTGGTCTGTAGTTGTAGAGGCTAAGGTAATTATCCTCATTGTGTCCTCCTGTTCTTTCTGCAGTGTATTTTTGCAGGTATTGCAGCTAGTTGTTTTTTTCCATAAAGCTCTTTTGGCTCTTCCACCTCTCTGTGTGTCAAAATATCACAGTAATTGTTTTATTTGGTTTGTAATCTTAATACATTTATTGGGACGTGCAGATGTTGCTGACGTTAATGACAAATCTGTCAGTACCAGGTGGATTTCTGCTTTCTCTTTGTTTTGCTCTTTCCTCTGTGATGGAAAGCAAACCCCTTGCCATCTGGTTGGGTGCTTGGCATGACTGCAGGGGCTGAGCAGCGCTGTCACAGGTGAGAGGGGCTGGCAGGCTGCTGCTTTGGGTGGAGGAGGCCCTCCTGAAGGGAATGTTCTGTTCAGAATGCGGGACAGCTGCCAACTGCATCCTTGTTGAATGAGGGCAAGCAATTTTTGGTGCCAGGAACACAAGAACGCAGATTACACTGATGAAGGTAACTGTACCTACATATCCTGTTCTTCTGCGTCCAAGGATAGGGAAGAATGTAGCAAAAGTTACGAGCTTTAGTTTCTTTGCGCGTGCCACGCACTTCATGGTGAGTTTGAGGTGCAGCATTCAGAAGGGATGGGCACTCACAGGGCAAGTTCCCCTGAGGAAACTTGAAGCCCAAGGCAGTACAGCACAACTTCTGTGTGAAGTCTCTTCAGAAGTAGATGGCACCGTCTGCCATTCTTCTGTCTGCTGGTCTGGCTTTTCTAATCTTGGAGCAACTAACAGCAAAATAATGACATGCTGGGGCTGCTCAAGAGGAAGTTTTGTCTTTGAGAAATGTGATACAAATGGTGGTGGAACTACGTTTTTTTCCTACTGGTGGAGAAATAAATGTTATGGTAGGCTTGTCTGTGTTTGTGCATGATGCCACAGAGAGAACAGTACTTCAGGCAAGAAGAGCATAGATTGTTTATCACGGTAATGCTAACAACATGGGACTAATTAGCTGTTGTGTGTTTTGGGAACCGGAAGAAGCATCCACTTGGAGAGTCCTGTACAGAGTCCCCTCAGCTCTGTCAGCCGTGTTGCAGCCAGCTGGGCCCAGGGTGGGGAGAGCCAGGGAAGTCCCTGCAGAGAAACCAATGTGGGCTGGGTAGAACGTAGGCAGCAGGTGCTGGAGGCTGCTGGTTCAGTGCTTTGGCTGTTACCTTAAAAAACTAATTTATTCAGATATTCATGCTGTATCAATTCTTGAAATCAATTCTTATTTATCTGATGCTCTGGAAGAGGATTTTTTCTGCTCTCGTTATGTATCTGGTTGGCTTTGTGATCATTGGATTTCCTTAAAGTTTTGCAGGTGGAAAAAAAGTGGTACCTTTTGTCAGTCACTGAAGCTCAGAGAAAAATGGTAAAATAAATGTTTTTCCCTTTTCAAACTGAGATGTGTTCTGAAAACTTCATGGAATAAAAGTGTGGCTGAGCAGAGGGGAGGATCTCTGGGCTCGCAGCATGAGGTACAGCTGCAGCTATTTTCTTCAGCTCACCCTTAATGAAAGAATGAGAGGCACAGGAGTGTCTCTGAAGGCTGCAGCTGGCAGATCTGCAGCTAGTGGCTGGTAATGAAGCTGCTGCAGTCAGTAGCACTTCCATCCTTTGGTTTTGGATCATCTGCGTAGAGTTTGGTAATGCAGGACCTTCTCAGTTGGCTTTCCTGGTCCTGAGCTCCTTTCAAAACATGATCCTAAAGGAGCTGTCTGAGGAGCAGAGAACATGGCAGTGTGTTCAGTTTCCAGAATTTGAGGATTTAGACATTTAATCTCTAATTAATAAGAATGCTGTGCTTGTGAAAATAAGTAAACAAACCTAGATAATCTAATACTACGTTTGAAAATACTTCAAAATACACAAAGAGTTATCAGTGATAAATCATAACAGCCAGTGTAGCATAATTGGAAAACTAGCTGTTCTCTATGCTCATTCAAAGTGGGTGTAACTGGGGCTCCTTCTTAAAAGTTTGAGTTTGTATTCAGAGCATTCCAATACTGTGTGGACTCATACATAGACCTGGATGGACTCCAGCAGGAGGCTGGTATGCTGTGCTCCACCATTCTCTTATCACTTACACTGCTTTGCTACTCCATGGAAGTGCCAGCTGATAAATAGTTTCTAACGTGCATTTTGTTAGCTGCTGTGATAATGCCTTCAGACCAATGAGTACATTTTTGGAAAAATATCGGGCTGAATGAGGTTATGGAGTTGGAAAATGCTTGTGAGGCCAGGTAATCCTAGACTTCTGTCCTGAGCCCACACGTGCGTTCTATTCATTCTTAACTATCTTCAAACGTGTGTAAGTGAGCATCTGTCCTTCAAAAATACACTGTGAAATGCAATATTCAGTTGCTGAGGCCTTTTATCTCTTCACACCAGATAGGAAGGAGAGAGTAAAAATAGAGCCTGGCAGTGCAGTAGTACTTGGGGACAGGGAGGCCGTCTGTAAGCCCTCAACAAAGATAGTCCCTTTTCCACGGGGATGTTTTTCCCTTGCCTTTTTGTGGTTTAATTTTGGCTCTGTAACATCTGAGCTTCAAGATAAGATTATTTGTTACCTGTCTTTTTCATTTTCTTAATGTACACATTTAAGAGCTTCAGCTATTTACTGGACCACCAGCTATCTCCCAACCCTTCTTGAACCTTTGGCACAGAGAACTCTTTGAGAACATTGTAGAGCAGAATTGATACAAAGGCTACAGAACTGAGTTAACGCTGATGCCATAGTGGGTAATAAGTGTTCACCTCCTTATAATGAATTTTTCTTTGTATGCCAGAGCATCATTACTTTTTACTCATTGATCAGATCAATGTTTTGCTGCTTGTCTCCTCCATTGCAGCTTATTTTTTCGTGAAAAAACTCATGAAAGGAGGAGGTACAAATGACTTAGGAACAAGTCAAGCAGGGATGTTGAAAACTGTAAAAATAAGAAGAGCATTCTTCAGAACATCCATTATTTCTGCTTACTGTTCCCTTGTCTGTCCAGACACTTACATATGATTGAGTTGTTATCACAAATTCTTCTTAGAATAGGTTTTAAAAAAGAAAGAAAAATCTACTAACAGAAGCAAAACATAGCATAGATGACGGGCTAACTGGGAGTTCTCTTGGGAAGAGAAAGCTCATGTGAAGGTCTTACGTTTCTAGGCCTGTTTTTTTTTTTCAGGCTAGCCTGATGCACATATTTCTTCTCCAGTGGCCTCCCAGTGGAACACAGCAGATACAGAGTGTCTCTTAAATATACCAAAGGGCACTTTGAGTCTGCTGCAGTGGTTTCACAATTGTAAGACTTTTTTCAAAACTGTATTTTGAAAAAAGTTAGCTGAGGTACAGTGGGGTGCTGGGAGTTTTTCTCTGCATGTATCTTAGTGAATTCTGTCCTGGATGTGGAATTTTTCTAAACAGACCTAGTGTGCAATTGCTTCTATCAAATGCTGTGCTATTGTATTTGATGCAAACTTAACATACAGATGTCTCCTGTGAGCATCTGGCTGGTAGCCTGGACCGTTCCTTTCTTTCATCCTGAATAATTATGTGGTCTGTGAAAAGAACGAAAGAATGAATTGTGTTCTTCTTCTTCGGTAGGATTTTTCCAATTAAAGATGTACCTGCAGAGCCCGAAGCTCTCTCACAATGGCTGTATCAACGATTCATTGAGAAGGAGGATCTCTTGACCCATTTCTATAAAACAGGTAGGAAAGTGTCTAGCTAAGAGAATTACGCTTTCATGATGTCTTTTCTTACAAGGATTTCAAGATGACTTAAGAATGTGTATGCTTTTTTTTTTTTGGACATGAACACAGAACATACAGTTACTGACATTTTTACACAGCAAAGGAACCTACGCTAAGAAATACTCAGGAAACATTTGCTTGGCTAAGATGAGAATCAGGTGACATTTGGAAACTGAGACATGAAAACTAGAGTTAAGGAAATCCCTTTCTTTCCCCAACAGCTCAGCTGTGAAACTTGCTGCCAGAGGCTTTCACTGAGGGGAATGTTTTAGCAAGATTCAGAGAGGCAGTGAACATTCACATGCACAATAAAACAAGTCAGAGTTTACATCTGGAGGGGAATATTCAGGGTTTAAAAAATGAGCAAATTCTTGATTAAAAGTGATTAAGTAAGACTCTTATGTGAGGCAAATTTTATTAGATCTTTGTGTTGCTGTTTAGCATCTTCCTCTGACACTTGTGCTGTTAGAGAAAACTGGTCTAAGTAGTCTGTAAGTGTAATACAGAATCCTAGTTGTCTTCTGTTTCCTGTTAGGCAAAACAGAAATATGTTATTGGAAGGGTCTGTATGAATTACAAAGCACGAGGTCTGTGCAGTCTGTGTGCCAGCCCTGTGCTGTGCCTGCCGGTCTCCTTGCTGTGAGGTGCACTGAGTCTCTATTGTAACACACTTTGGATGTTGAAGGATCAGAGAGATCTAAATAATTGTAAGGCATTAATAACATTACTGAAGGGATAATGGCAAATAATGTCATTTAAAACATCAGGTAAGTACTTGAGCTGGTGAAGTGTTTCCTAAAGCCTCCTTTTTCCCATCTATTTAATGGGTGTGTGTGTTTTCAGGGTATACACCAGAGGAGATTAAAATATAAAAATGAAAAAGAAAAACCTGAGAGGGAAAAATGGTTTTGTTTAGACATACAGAAAAGTTTATAAAATATTGACTGAGTAGGGAGACTCCAACTGAAATACTGCAACTTGTGTTTGAAGAAAGAACAAATCTCTGAGTGATTACCACAACTGCTGAGGAAAAGAAAGTCTGTTGGATCAACTGAGTTTAGTATTTCAGAGTGACTGTGCTAAAACAAAGATGCCATTTTTATTGGATGATTTATTGCAAAAACTGTTCCGATTCCGATTTGCTTAATTTTACCAACTTAGCACTTAGAAAGTTTGAATTCTCTAACAACCAGAGATGTACTGTGCTGTACGAAATACTGCTGCCTTCAGCTATCAGGGATGGCAAAATCAGACCCTATTATATACATCGCATCTAAATGCACATATTAGACAAATGACTTTGTGAATCTGCTTAAAGGAGTAGTCAATAGGATGTCAGGAATTCATGTTGTTGAGACATTACTTCACGAATACCACTAAAATAAAATGACTGTACCTAAAAATCTAACTGGACCAGAATTTTAAAAAGCGTAATGAATATCATCAGGCTTACTGCTTCAAAAATAGGATAATTGGCTATAATTCAGCAATGTAATAAGCAGGAATTAATTAAGATATCATAAATGTAAATGATGTGATGTAGAACGCTATTAGGCATAAATTACCATAACTTAAAAGTTACTACCACTTATGTCAGTTGAGAACTTGGTTGCATTCTCTTTTGCTGCCATGATTTACTGAAAAGCAGCTGTTGCAGTTTGCAGAAAACCACAGGCAGGTCCCATGAAGGGGATCCCAGCAGTTCCTGAGGGTCAGCTCTTCACTGACACGTTATTAGTTTTAAGCTGGAGTAACACTTAATTCTACTTGAAATGTCAAAAGCTTCTCACTGCTATTATCACCAGTACCTTCTTACTGTACATTCTCTTTTCTGATTTTTTTTATTGGAAAGAAGAAAAAATCTAAGCCTAAAACAATTGTTGGTTGTTTTCTTTTTTCCTGTATTCCCAAGTATCAAGGACTTCAATAGATCTAGGGAAAATCTGTGTGATTTAAGAACTTGAAAAGCCCTTAAAAGTTTGAATATCAAAACCGTCACGTTTGTTCATGTAGTACATTTTCCACCTTTCATTTATGAAGTTAAAGCTGTTTTCAGATTCCTAGCAGCTAATGGAAAGCTTGTGTTGGCAAGCATGTGATTGCTCTGAAGTCTTGAGCGGGATAACCTTGAACACAGCAGTAACACAAATGGCATTACACTGAGCACTTGGAGACTAATTAAAACAAATAAAAACCCAACGCTGTAAACTTGGAGCTTATCAATTGGAAATGAATAGTTGAAGACATCATGCTCCTCATTCGTGCTCTGATCTTAAGCCAACTGGTGTGATGCAACTAAAAAAAGTAAGCAATGTCATCCTATGGGGCAACAGGAGAGTATTTTCAGTAGGGCTGCAAAAATACTTTTTCCACTGTACCAAATCTGAAACCTCATCTGGAAATTCTGCATACAGATCAGTCATTCCGGCTCGAGAAATATGAATTGAACTGGGAAGAGGGGCAGGTAATAAGTGTGAAGATGATGAAGGGGAAGGAGGACAACTAAAAGTGCTTGGCTTAGTTTGTCTAGCAGCGTCCAGGATCACTTTCTTTGTAACAAAATGAGTTGGCTTGGGAGAGGAGGAAGGGGAAGAGGCAGTTGCTATCAGTTCTGCCTGATAAGGAGAGTTAGTTCAACCAGCCATCAGTGTTGGTACGGAAAGACAAATGGGCCACAGAAGAGCAAACGTAGCACAGAGTGGACAAATAGGAAGTGAGCAGTGAAAACTGCTAGGAGGTGAGTAAAGGGAGTGACAGATCTGCTGACATGTGAAAATATGCTTGAGTGAGAGAACAAGGGGCTCATCAAGATTTTTAATATAAGACCATTCATACAGAAAGAAAAGCTTTATCTTGAGTACTCAGTCGCAGTTCCTCCAGAAACAGCAGATGTGAAGCACAGAGATGAGTTGCTGAGAGTATCTGACAGCCCAAATTGGGTGGATTCTGAGATTCAGAATTGATGCTGCTGTATCTTTACTCTTTGTATCTTACCCCTTTATTCTTCTGTGAGTAGTTGTGACTTTATAATGTTGCAGGTGTAATTGGTTTTTACATCTACTCTTCAGAATTAACAGCAAAAAAGTGGATCATATCGCCTAGGCTTTGTACACCTTGCTATGTACACCTTGCTAACGTACATCACAGGTTATGTAATATCCTGAAATAAATATATGCAAACAACTCATTCATAATCATGATAAAGCTCCAAAGTAGTTAGTCAAAATTTACTGCTTTAAGTCAGAAAAAGTCAAAATGGGGGAGAATTGACTTATTTTTTAATCATCAAATGTATCTCCTGCCAAAGCTTCTCAATTCAAATAGGCATTTCAGAAATTCATTCTAGAAAACAGATTAGCAAATCAAAGTCCTTGCTTACACTTCACTACTGACTGGGTAATGAATGTTCAAACAACATTTACAAATTAGTGCAAGAAAAACCATATGGTCACACTACATGGTGTGTGTGCATGTGTGTGTAGATGTTCGTAGTCAAAAAACTTGAAGAGTATATGTGTACTTCACAGTACACAAATTTATTACTAAACAGTTGTAAAGCTTTACAGAGAACCCAGTTAGTTTGATCAATTTGCCAGCATTATACAAAATTAACCAATTAATTGTGTGCACTGCTGCTGGGCAGGCAGCAATAGTCGAGAGTAGTGCACTCAGCCTTATTCCTGCTGCAGATACGTTAAATGTGGGTTTTTTGTTTTTTTTTTCCATTTTCAGGAGCTTTTCCTCCACTGCAGGGTCAAACGAAAGCTGTTTCTCGGGAGATGACCCTCAGCAATCTGTGGCTTGTCGGCATACAATCACTTGCATTCTTGTCAGGCGGTATGTGGTACTGCATCTTACAGTATTTTTATCACTGCCTATTTTAAAAGTGGAATGGGACCTGAGGACACAGTGGGAATCGAGGCTCTTGCGAATGAGTACCATGTTGTATGTGCAAATGTGAGTATACAAGAGTAAAGGAGAATACTGGACGGACTCTTACCTCTCTTTGGAGAAATTTTAAACTCCACTGAAGGAGAAGATCAGTAACATAGTGACCTGATGATGTATTATTTTAAGAATTGTCTGTATTTTTAAGAAATGTATACTCTCACCCACACTTAAGCAAATTCAGCATTTGGACAAAAGGTGCAATCGTACAACCACCGTAGAAGAATGTCTGCAACGAGAAAACTGTCACCATAAGTATTTCTTGGCGTTGTAGTTAGAGCTCAGAAAACTCAGCAACTTGTCTCTTCAGTAGTCTGTGCAGCATTGGTGTGGTAGAGATCCTCATTTGCACAAACGTGTGCTTTACTGCAGCTCATTGTGCTGGAGCCAGAGACATCAGCGGAGCTGATGGCGGCGTCTTTGTCACTGCCCAGTCAGCAGCTGTCTCAAACCAAGACCCCAACAGGGTCCTGTTCAGGTGTGTTTTGTGAGGAATTGGTCCTTAAAAAAGCATTGCCTCATCACAGCGTGATTAGAAGTTGTCCATATTTGATGAATCAGCCCATCCCTGCTGTGGTCTTACCATCAGCTAACCGAATTCTGTGTGCTACCTGTAGCTCATACTATGAAGAAGCTT